CAGCTATTGAGGAGGCTGAAGCTTGGAGAAGGATCTCTTTAGATTACCACAGAAGTCATATAGCACTAATTTACAGGAGTTTCAGACCAGCTTGGACAACACAGTGATGGTATCTTTTCTCAACTAGGCAAGACAAGGCAAAAAATTGAGAATACAGTGGGATTATTTGGCTAAGGACAAGAAAATTTTGAGCACCCATACAAATGTAAAATAAACCATATAAATAGGAAAATCTAAGCCATGAAGGAGAGATAGGTACTCTCAAGTTCTTTGTATGAAACCATTCCAGGTCCACAGTCTTCCCCTGGCTTTGAAACATTTCCTGCCCCAGGATCTGAGGATTTCTGTTTAAGCGTCCCTTTCTCTCTCCCCCCTCCCTACCTCACTGCCTCTCTCTCACTGTGTCCCTCCCTCCTTTCTCTCCCCCTCTGTCCCACCCTCCCTTCTTCTCTTCTTCTGTCCCTCCCTCTCCCTCTCTTTCTCATGATTCATTAGAAATCTTTTTATTTACCGGTATCCTTGGTGATTCTTAGGCATATGGTCCTTGAGTTACCACTTCACAAACACTAATTTAGATGTAAAAGGTCAAACCATTAAACCTATCATCTTATGTCTCCTTACCCTAACCCCACAAATTTTATTTACTCACAGTGTCTCCTCTTTGCCAACCATACCGGACTTCTGGCTTTCCCTAAGTATGCCGTACATTTTCAAGGTTTTGGGATTTAACTTCTCTTGATACAATCAGAGAGTCATTTCTTAATGCCAACAAGCCTCCATGAACTCTCTCACCTAATTACCTTGCTAACAGTTACCGGGGCGTAAAGTCAATCTTTTTTTTTTTTTTTTTTTTTTTTTTTTTTGTACAGGGGATCGAACTCAGGACCTTGCATTTGTAAGGCAGGCGTAGGCACCGCTGAGCTGAGTCTCTGGCCCTTTAAAGTCTATCTTATTGCTTTGTAGGTAGCCAGTTGCTCCTGCAGAAAGTCACAAAATTCTGCACTGTCTCAGCTGTAGATTCATAATATAACCTCTATAGTGACCTCAGGGCTGCTCAACTTTCCTTCTTTTCACCTTTAGCTAACTCCTCCAGCAAACCTTGGCGAAGCGGTTCTGAGACTCCCTGAAACCCACTATCAAATTTCAACTCCACAGGCTGCGGCAGATGGCCTTACATCCTCCCCTCTCTGTAGGGCTGACACCACCCATCCTGTCCTTTCCAAAGCCCCTCTCAGCTGTAGACAGAGCACAGGAGCTAGTACTCAGTCAGCTCTCTGTGGCACATCCACAGAATTAGATAGAGAATATATGGAAATTTATACCCTCTTAAATGGAAAGTAATAAAAATAGATATCCTATATCTCATCGTTGAGATCCATATCTTATTACTCTGAAAGGTAAGTTACAAATGTTAATGATTGGAGTGTTTCCTACAGGGAGAAGTGTAGAGCGGCAGTTCTGCAAATATTATCTGGAAAGAAAATGCTTCCAAAATATTGGATAAGTAAAAAGGAAATTAACAAATTACACTCTGATCCTTCTAGTCCTTCAAATTTCAACTGGCCATATCCTATTCTAGTGATTTGTGGTTCATTCATTCCATCATTCGTTTAATAAGTACTGTGTTTACAGCTAAGACTTGTAGCCACTGCATATCCTGAAAAATATGGAAATGAGATGATTGAGGCGACACAGTTGTGAAAAAGAACAGTCCTTTGTCCAGAATTTGTTAGACTCTCCTTACTGCATTACGGAGAGAAAACTCACTCACTGGCTAGCAAGCACATTTCTGAGTGTGCACTTGTTAGGATCAGCTGAGACAGCGGGTGACTGAGGCCTAAGTTTTTATTATTATACTCATTGTTCTTGCATTCAGTTAGCTTTCCAAATGTTCTGTTTATTGGAACTATACTAAATTATAATGGATCATCCCCAGAGTCATTCTTGACAAAAATAAAGTTAATTTTTAAAAATGAGTTTTTAAATTTGCAAAATTGGACACTGAACTGTGGTCTCAGAAGAAACCTAACATTATGCTGACATCCTGTGAGATTTAGCTTCAGCCTCTCCAGTGTCTTAACACTGTTACTATTAACTTCGACATGTTGGTTTTAAACTGTATTAATTGATTTAATGGATCTGTCAATTTAATATTAATAAATTAGCCAATGAGCTAGTTAATTCATAATTTAAATCAATAATATTGAACTTAAGTTGGTTGACTTTCAGCAATATCCATTAACTGGTGATATTTACCAAAAACAATTGGGTATAACATGGAACCTAAAGGCCATATTAAATATGTGGATACATTTCACGGGAAACAGTGTAAGACATGTTCTACCTTGTCCTGGCATATAGAATTGAGATCTATAGGTGGAAAATATAGGAAGACACATGAGAAAAACTTTTCTAAGCACAAAGTCTTCCTAAGTGTTTGTCGGGAACTGAATTCCTGGTCACTGGGGGCATCTGTTATTAGTTAGACTGCGAGGCTGAAGACATGGAGGGACCCCACCGTGGCTGGCAGAGGCTGAGGCTCCTGAATCTGTGGTCCAGAGCCCGCAGTTCCATGGTGGCCTTGAAGGTACACTTTGCCTAGGCTGCCAGCCTCGGCACGATGCGGGCACAGAAGCGGGCCTCCTTAGAGACAAAACAAAACTGTTAGCTCTTCAGAGCAGCTGGAGCTGTGGTTGTGAAAGAACAGCTTTCTAACTGGTGAATTTATAATGAATGATCTTGCCTGGCTAATAATTATGATGAGACAGGTGTCTTAAATCCTTGTCTGAGTGCTTGGCTTCCAGCTCACTGGTAAGATGGAATTAAGTTACCGAACTTTAGAGAAAGAAAATCACATCTGGGTTTTCAGTTTAAGAATATTGACTGTTTGCTTATAAATAAGTCCAAGCAATGCTGAAAGATGGAAGCTTCACCCTTCCTGTTGGAATTAGAGATGACAGGAGTAGAATGAGTTTGTTTTTGTGAGATCACTGTTTCCTTTTGAGAGTCTGGCAAAAATTAAGGAAATAAGTTCAAGAGGTCCAGGGCTTTGGGGCAAGCTCTAAATTAAGTACGGTATAGAGTATGCAGGAGCTTTTTCCTCTGAAGTTACTTAATATGGGACATAAGTAGAAGAAAGGGAGCTTACTTTGACAGAAATGAAATTATCAGTATTTTAGGAAGAGTTGTAGGTTCTATCAATTTCTAACTAATTCTTCTATACTTTTAAGAAAACACCTGCTATATAATATATATGCTACCTTTTTCCTACACAAGAAAAGGAAAAGAGGTTTTTAAGAGAAAGAATGAGCTGGGACTTGTAGATCATAAGCCTATACTCCTCTAAGACATCACAGCTTTTGGCTTGGTGGGAAAGAGTGTATTAACAATTTACCTTGCATGACAAGAAGCAAAAGCTCCAAAGTGAAAGAGGCTGAGGAAAATGAGTTTGCAAAGTCATGGTGTTGAAAATTTAGCCAACAACTTCACAGCTGATGATTATATTTGGAAATTAGTGTGAAATGCAGAAAAAACAGCCTTTTCAAAAGTCAATAGGACATCCAAAATGTCTCAGGTAATATGTAGAGATTGTGGTTTATAATGTTACCGAGACAGTAAAACATTTAAGCCTGGGTAAGTTTTGTTTTTACAGAAATAAAAAGATATCCATTATGAATGTATTAAGCATTAAATCCAGGAGCCAATAAATATTCACTGCTCATAAAATTTTTAAAAACCAAAACTATTATAAAGCTTTCCTTATAATAGTTTTTATAAAAGGAAGCATCGTCTTTCTGTAACTACAGAGAGCACTGTAGAAGTTTGATAACCTTTTGCCATTTTTATGTTCTACATAATTGTCTTCTAGGATCTCACACGTTCACCACTGAGCTACACTCTTAACCTTTCAGTACACTTTAAAAACATTAGTGATCTTGTTAACTCACACTGTTTTGCTGTATCTCTGAGTTTTAGCTTTGACATTTTAATACATTGAGAACTACCTGATCAGTTTTCTAGTTTACTCTAATTCAGTAATTTCATTCCAGTTAGTTTTCCTCCTCATTTTTACTAACTGATATCATAAAGGGAGACAACCTTTATATATATATAT